TGAAAAATGGTCATGTCATTTTTTCAGTGCCATTATAACTTTGAACGGTCACTAAACCAACTGTTGTAAGTCAAGGACTACTTGTATACATATAAAACTTTTTGCATTACGTTAGCCACCATTTTCAAATTTAAGATAATAATGCAACATTTTTTTATGAAGCTACAGATTGCCTTGCTCCAGCTGTTGAAGATGCAGAGATTCAGAACAAGACATACAGAACTGGAAATAAATTAATAATCAGCTGTCACGAAGGATTCCAGATCCACTTCTCTGATTTAGACAACCTGGTATCAATATGTCAAGATGATGGAACATGGGATAATCTGCCCATTTGCCAAGGTTTAGTACAGTAGAGCATCTTATAGATCTTACACTTTGAGTAATGACAGATTGGGAGGGTGGCACAAGGCTTGCATCTTAAGGATATAACAATTAACTATAGTTTCTAGTACAGCATTACCTTTATTAGAGATATTTTGCAATTAAAATGGCCAAAATGCATTTTTAATATGATTAGTCTATTGTTTGCTTCATTTGAGAGATAAAATTAAATGTTTTGTATTTTTAATTTCTTTTTAAACTTGCTGATGTAAATAATTAGGTTCTCAAGTTAATTGAATCTTTTACTTCAATTAAAGAACTAATTCATTACTTAATTCAAAAATAATTAAAATCAGCATCACAAGGGATTTTACCTTATCTATTTTCTTTGGTTCTGATGTCAAATAGAAACTTTCTGACACTAAGAGCAGGTTACTAATTGTTCTTGCATCTGTAATCCTAAATAAAATTTCATTGAAAGTGCTATCCTACATCTTCCAGATAATGAGCACTAAAAGAAATATATAGCATGGAATTATTATGTTCAAAATTTATTTGCCTTTGATCCAGTTCATTCATTTGCAGAAATAAGGAAATCCTGAATAAGATACAGCTGTATAATTATATGAAAGAAAGTCCATCAAACACATAAACTATGTACATCAAACACATAAACTATGTACAAACTATTTTTTTTCAGGGGAAATAAGCTTTTTTATTGAATTCCATCTCTCTTGCTTTTATGATTTTTAACCAATAAACATCCATAACAATAACATCTTTTTTAATTTAATTTTATTTTGGTGGCACACATTCCCATATCAGCAAAGGACAGCTCACAATATAAATAACAAAACACAAATGCAATAAAATAAAAATATAATGAGAGAAATAAACATAAACCTCAAATACAATGAGAGAAATAAACATTAAACTAAAAAATAGTGTTAATAAATACACCAAAATAGTAAAATATATAGAAACTGTGAACCTTTCCAATAAAACAAATAGGGTAAAATAGATTTTTAAAAGTGTTTAAAACGTTTTTAAAGAAAATGATGGTTCTTCTGAACTACATTTATGCCATATCATGCCACAATAATTTGTCTGTCTGATATTAGCTAGGTAAGCACTGTAGCATTTACTCCACTTACTCTATTTGTTTTGGTATAAGGTATATTTAGATTTTTGGGGGGGGGGGAGTATTCCAGCGTATAATAATTTTTTATCCTATGAATTGTTATTTATGAATTGGTATTATGGATACATTTGATTTGAAGATCAGAAAACAATGGGTTTTAAATCTTAAATTTTTGAGGTGGGGAATAATAAGGAAGTTCTTAATTTTCTTTTCTCATGAATCATGGCTATATAAGTTGCAATTTGACTACAACTATTTCAAATGTTACATTTACTTTAGGTGTATACTTCAGATTCAGTTACATAACTTTATTGTGTCTACCACAGAATGCATACCTTGTTATAAAATTATAATGTTCTTGTAACTTTTCCCTACAATGTTAAGTATCTCAATACTTAAATATCTCAAATGACTTACCTCAGAGGGAGAAAATTGATCAGCTTTCCAGTTTTTGTGTTTAACTCTTTCATAGTGCCATACACTAAATAAATAAATAAACCTTTTGTAGTTTCTCTATAATTTTTTAAAAAAATTAATTGTGGAGCTCTATTAGTAATTTTCTTTACAATGATGCGACAGCAAATACAGCAAATACAGTCACATTTACAAGCAGGAGACCCTATACCATTTCAGACAAATGGTTGTCCAATGTCTTCTTAAAAAATCCAGACATCGAATACCCACAACTTCTGAAGGCAAGCCATTCCACTGATTAATTGTGCTAACTATAAGGAAGTTTCTTCTTAATTCTATCTTTCTTCTCTCCTTTATTAGTGTCGATCCATTGCTTCTGATTCTGCCTTCAAGTGTACTTAATTTTCAAATTATTTTCTTTTATTATTATTATTATTAATTAATATCTGTTAAATTTGTCTGCCACCCATCTCACCACAAGGTGAACAAGGTTAAAAGCAATAAAACTATATAAACATATATTTAGTAGGAATAAAATTATAAATTATGGTAAAAAGAGGGGGAAGGGGGGGAAGAGAGCCTTTAGGGAGTAAGATCTGCTATTAGTCCATCAACCATCTGGTTCACCGACAAAAGGGCGAACGACAAAACCACGCCCGACTAAACCGCGTCGCTGATGTCATCAACAGGGCGACAACAGCGCGGAGACAGAAGCACGCTGTAAACCCTAANCCAGGAACTCGGGAGCAGCTATGTTAAGCTGCTTCCATCAGTAAGCGCCGCCCAGGAAGCCCCATCCATAAAATACTTGTGAAGCCTAGGGGATATATAAACATTTAATTCAAACACAATGCAATAAAATTTTCTCTTTGAATGTTTTCAAATTGATTTGGTGATTTGGTAAATTTTTGCATGTAATCTTTATGAACAAACTATTCATCACAATATTGATTCAAATTAAATCAATTTTAAAAATTGGGTCCTGACTAATTTGTATATCTTAATGTAGCTGAAACAACAATCATTAACTCAGATAAAATCTGAGAAAAATATAGAAAATCATATAGAAAAAATTATCTTCAAAGTGGCCAAATAGGCTAAAAGGTAACTTAGTTGGCTAAAAAAAAGTCCGTTGACCTGTACGTATTGGGTGGAAACAACTAAAGCCTGGAAAAAAATCAAATACTAGGGACAAATAAGAGGAAAGTATAATCTTCATTTAGCTTTTGTCTTTTGGAGCTTGTGTTATTTTTTCTCCAAAGCTAGCTGACAGCAGTTTAAAGGGGAAAGTGCCACCTCAGCCAATAGTAATAGCATCATATTTAGTGAATTTAGATAGGAAGCTGCTGGTAGTTAGTTGCTATATATATTGTTTTATTAGATTCTATTATAGATTAAGATCTGAGATGTATAAACTTGTTTTGGCTTAGATATGTTTGTTTGAGAACATGGGTTTGAGGGACAAACTAGTCTCCGAGTTGATCGTGACCAAGATCAACTTCTTCATAAATCAGTATTTCTTCTTCCTATTTTAAAAAACTGTCATCTGGATGTTTGTTTTCACTGTTGCACATAATAAATATTTAAATGTTTGATGAAGCAGTTGTACCCACTCTGAGAAAGGGATCCATCCTTTAATACATCCTTTACTCTTTGTCATGAACAGAATTATAACTCAGACACGCCCACCCCAGCTCCGCAAAGGCAAAAAATGTTGCAATACAAACCCGTGCTCTAGTCTGCCTTAAAATGGCATTCCACAGGAACCTAACACAGTTTTAAGGTGTTCAGGAGAAGTGCTTCTTTTAATCTAAATCTAAGATTTGTTTGAAGTTAGTGAGTTTTTGTTGCAAATGAAAAGCCATTTAACATGTTCTGTAATGAATATTTTTAAAAACAGACCTTCATTCGTCCATTCTGATTGCAGGTTGTATCATTCATTCATTCATTTAATTTCAATAGACGTTCAACTCAACCAAATGACTCTAGATAGTATACAATTCTAAAATTATAATTAAAACTTCAATTAAATTAAAACAGTAAAAACATTCACGAAGATAAATACAAACAGCAACCATGATATTTAATTAACTAAAAGTAAAGTCAAGTAATGAGACCATTAATGCATTCTGAGCCCTAGACCTAGGTACATAGCTAAGTTTAAATCCTTGTAAAAGGACAAGGTTAGGGCCAGTCTAATCTCTGAGGGTAGAATATTCCATAAGGCAGGGATTACATCAGGAAAAAATCCATCTTCTAGTTCCCACCAGTTGACATTCTGGCTGATGGTATCTGCAGCATGCCTAATTTGCTAGATTGAGTTGGTTGGATGGAAACTATTGGTTTCTCATCTTATCTTGGCTAACTTCAAAAAGCATGGCAGAGGCACACCTGGTTACTATTGGAAAGTCCTCGGAGAATACTAGTGAAGTAGTCTAGAGTGGAAATAGAGAAAGCATTTCAGGAGAAAAAAAAATGCCAAACTGGCTGTGTTAAGAGTCTCTCTGAAGTCACCAAGAGAAATGATGAACTCAATTTCCATGATTAGTGTGAAAAGTATTGCACTTTATCAACTTACTAGTTTATATGGTCTGTGTTTGCTAAGTTTTTAATTTGCTATTTTGTATTTTATTGTTCGAAATCAATTTACTGTAGACTAGGGGTTAAAGTGTGAAACTAGGAGCATGGAGACCTGAATCCTAGTCTCACTTTAGAATAGGGGCCAACTGCGTGATTTGGGACCAGATATTCAGGTCCTAAGAAGAAGGTGATGCAAATCACTTCAAAAAACATTGCCTACAATGTGGATGGACTTCTTCATGTGGTCACAAGGAGTTAAGATTAAAAGAATTAAACTAAGAAATGCTAATAATATTAAGCACTGTTTGGGGCTATAAAGGTTTAATGTGCATTGTGTGTGCACAAAAGTCAAGCTAAACACATGCTTCAGAATCAACTGAGATATCTTGTTTCAGGCTCTGCCCATTAGCTTTGGAAACACTCTATGCAACTTATGTTTTGAAATCTGTATCTCAGCTCAGTTTAGCAAATACTAGAGATAAGAAGAATAGGATATAACTGTCTGACTGAACATAAATATTTTACATCTTTGTTGATGTAGGTTTTGACGAACTCCATGCTTGTTCTGATCCTGGATTCCCCGAATATGGATATAAAATGCCCAGCACAGGTGTTTTCTTTGAAAGTTCAGTTGTCCGATTTCATTGCCAAGAAGGATACAGGCTTAAGGGTCCATCCCAAAAGCTTTGTGAGAGACATTTTAATGGCTCCCTAAGCTGGAAGCCAAGTGATAAACCTGTGTGCCTACAAGAAGGTAAGTCTAACTTACTGTTAGCAAATTTCATTTGTAAAAAAGCCTCCATGGTTGTACTATCTCTGTGCTTCTGGTTTACGAGATTGTACTATAATTTCTGAGAAGATTTTAAAACAATGTTTATTTTAATACTGCATATTCACAAAGAAAGAGGTGGCATCACTGAGTCAAATAAAAATATGCATTTCTTTTGACACTAAAAATCAGAATTCATTAAATACTCTGTCCACAAACAGAAGCTGATATTCCCAAAGAAGCTGTTTTAAAAATATTTGTGTATGTGACAAATGTGATATATTTGAATTTGAATTTGAATTTATTAAAATTTATAGGCCGNACCCTTACCTTAAGTGGAATCGGCTTTCTTTCAAAGCGCTATTTAAAGCGCCCTTCTTTCTCCGTGCTGGCTGTTGTTGCCCTGTTGATGACATCAGCGACGCGGTTTAGTCGGGCACGGTTTTGTCGTTCGCCCTTTTGACGGGTCACGAACCATCTTCAGCATGACACTCCTCTATTGGGCCCAAAGCCAACTAGTGCACAGCAAGGTCTTCAGGCCTTTACGGAAGATCAGGAAGGAGGGAGCGATCTTACTCCAAGAGGGTAAAATGTTCCAAATGGCAAGAGCTATGGCAGAGAAGGATGTTCTGGACCCTACCAGCCAGAATTCCTTAAGTTACAGGATTCACAGTATGTCCCATCTGCTATTGCAGGGAGAGTGGGCCCATCCCATTGGAATGAAATAATTCCTCAGTTATCCTGGTGCATGCCATGTGGGGCTTTCTAATAATCCCTAACAAAATCTAAGTATTTCTCCATTCCTGTGTGTTTAATTATTCTATTGAACCATCAAGAACTACTTTCTTAAATAGTTGAAGCCAATCTTCAACACTTCGGAGGAGTTAAGATGTTTTGCCTGGTATGCATCGCTCTGTATTATCCTAAATTACAAACTTCATTGGCAGATTAGCAAAGATTCAGATCTCTATTTTTTATGTAGGGAATGCTATATAAGCAGTGGGGTGATGTAGGGTCAATTGCTGGGGTGGAATCAGAAAGTGTGGCTGCTGCTCCATTTAACCAATTTTACTTCCTCACAAGTTTATTTTATCTCTAGATTTTTTCTGGTTTCAGGAAAAAAAATCCCTACTTATTGCAGAACTGCTTTTAACTGAATCAGTGGATAGGTAGGTTAACCATCCTTTCTAGTCCACTAACACTTTCTGCAATTGAATCCCCTCTTCTCTCATATTAGTAGCATAATAGTAAAAATGGAAAGTTGATAAACTCTGGTTACTTTTGAAATGTGTTGTAACACCAAGGTGTTATGCATTATTTAACTATGAGTAAATATTGTGGTATAGAGTTAGCAAGATTTAGCATTGGCTATAGCTTCCTTCCACAATTTTTCTGAATGAATGCGTAGTTTTGAAAGAGAGGTGGTGCTATAGTTCTTGCTAATACTGTATAAAATGTAGGCATGTTAAATAGCCATTTGCTAGAGTACAATTTATGAAACAGATGCCATTTTAATGGATCTGCTGGGCCTCAAACTTTCAGCTGTTGCAACATATCCTGGTCTTACGATTGCAATTTAGTACCTGTCAGTTATAACGATTATAGTATCCCATGGTCACATGATTGCCATTTGACATTTCACAGTTGGCTTATGATAAGCAAAGTCAGTGGGGATGGAGAAATTGGTAGGATATTGTAAATTGCATGACTGTAGCCTGAATTGATGTCTTAAGTTAGATATGGTCACATGAAATTTCATTTTCTGACCGCATTGCTTAATGATGGAATAGTTGATTCCAATTATGGTTGGTAAGTAAGGATTACACATAGTCCTTGTCCTACAACTATTCATTTAGTGACCATTCAAAGTTACAACAGTATTGAAAAAACATGATTTAAGACATTTTCACATGACCATTGCACTTCCCATGGTCACATGATCAAAATGTGGATGCTTGCAACTGGCAAGTGTTAATGATGGTTGCGGTGTCCCAGGATCATGTGATCATTTTCTGTGACCTTCTGACAAGCAGTCAATGGGGAAACCAGATTCACTTAACAACTATATTACTATTTATATTTATATTCTATTTATTAAATTTATAGGCTAACTTGACAACTGCAGTGATTCACTTAACAATTGTGGTAAGAAAGGTGATAAAATGGGGCAAAACTCACTTAACAAGTGTCTTGCTTAGCAATGGAAATTTGGGACTCAATTGTTGCCATAAATTGAGGGCTACCTGTATAGAGTTATAAAAAAATCTATATCAGGACAACCAGACTGATATTGCTACACTATCATGATCAATGTAAAATTCTGATCTGGAAGTTTGTTCTTTTGCGAGAAGGATTATCTTTTCACACTAGAATAAAATTATGGCCCTTTGCAGAAAACTATCAGTGCACTTTGTTGTACAAATAGGAAACTATATGAAAATCCTTCAACAGATTATAATTAGAGTAAATATCTGTATTCTCTCATCATGTAAGAAAGCTGTAAGTTAGATGAGAGAGTCTTCATTTTAACATTTTTATTAAGATAAAATACAAAAAACAAAAGTAAATAGGAAAACACAGTGGGAAGGAAAGGGGGAGAGAAAAGTGAGGAGAAACTGAGGAAAGAAAAGAAATATTGACTTCCAACTTTCTCTGTTGCAGTAAAAAAAGCATTAACACGAAACCACAACTTTTCCGCCCATAATAACATAAACTAGCCATAATAATTATATAAACTACCATTATAATTATATAAACTAGCCATTTCTATAAAAACATACCAGTCTAGATGAGAGTGTCTTGTAGATAGATACTATAAAGTAGCTTGCCTTTTTTTTATTCCCTACAAACTGCAGACTCATTATCCACCAAATGCGTTCGTTAAAAAATACAAAACCATAAGAAGCATGGGGATTAACACATATTTTTCCACAAATTTGCAAGATCTGAGTATTAGTGGGTAACTAAGAGGAAATATTTCCTCAGATAGCAACAGGCTATCTGTTGAGATTATCTTGTTGAGATTATTGATATTTGGATGAGAGATCATAGGCAATATCAGGGCTGTACACTGGGAATCTATGGAAGATACCCTAGAAATAAACTATGCCTATCCTGATGCAAAGAAAAATTCATGGTTATGTCCATAGGAGTCAAGATTGATTCAATAAATACATTTTAGGAGGAACAAATTGTACATTTGTAAGTCAGTCAGTTTAGAATGCTTTTGTCTAATTTTCCTACTAAATGCAAAGCTTCTGCTCAAGTAGAATTGTGGTAAGCTATAACTTTTGTATGGCCTTAAATAATTTTAAGTGGAATTAAGAGAGAACTATTTCTACAGCAACTTTTATCAATTTAAAGATACAACTATGTAGTTTGACATTATTCCCATTAGAAAGAGATTAAAAGAGAGCAATGATTTATTTTCATATGCTGTCTTATAGTATATCCATTATATAAATTAAAAACACAACCCAAACAACATGACTGCCCAGGTTAAAGTAACATTCTGGATATATTTTTTAAAAGGTTCCAGGGCCACCCTAACCGCCAGTTTGGGAACAAAGCCAAGTCTTAAGGAAATTAATTTTATTTATTGTAGAGAATTTATGTAGCCACCTACTCGCTCACAGCACTTCTAAGCAGCTTACAGACAATACAAACACAATATAAAAAATAATAATAAATAAATAATTCCCCCTCCCCCTCCCCAGTAACAACACACACTCAAATCAGCCATTTAATGGGCTCCATCCCACTCTCAGTTCCCTAGTCTTGCTGGCAAAATCACATCTTTAGGGTCTTATGAAAAAGTGTCAGAGTGGGGGCCAATCTAATTTCTGGAGGGTTAATGTCCCTTGATTGCATCATGTGATGTGTTGTGACATTTTTTTGCCTTTACAGAGCCAGGGTAGGCGCAGCTTGTGCATGACACATCTGGGCCATGAACCGCCAGTTTGACAGCTGTAGCATAATAAACTTCTATTATTCTCATCTATGACAAATGGACAGCCAGGGAATTCTGCAATAACTGGCATGCTTGAAAAGTTAAGAGAAAAGTTAAGGGAACTGTTATTAATTCTTAGTCTTTATTTTGCAAAATAAATAACACTTATAAAAACAATACCAGGAAAAGGCACAACTGACAACCTGGCATCTTAGATATTTTTCATAAACTCCCCTTTGAAATATCCTCAGTGAGAATTCCTTTTCAGAAAAAGTTAAAAGTTCAAGCTAGGCATCTTGTTGGTTTCTATGTGAGAGTATTTGTTCTATAACTAAGCTTTTATTAAAATTATTTTAATATTAAAATATGTTGATAGAAACAATTACAGATTGATTCAGAACTATGCTTTCATGAATTTTTGAATATTTTATTGTAGTTTTATTTAGCATCTAAAGAAAGGTAAGAATAAACCCAGTCTGCCAGGAAAGTCTTCTGTTCACATAACTTTCACTTTGATAACACTGGAGATTTCCTGTTGGAGAAGTAATGAGTAACTGGAAAGCTTCTGTATTGACTATCAGAACCATTGCAACTGGTTAAAATAGATTAAAATCCATTTATTTATGTCTATATTTTAATAATACTAATAACAGTAAATAAAACATTAACATAACAGTTTCAAAGGAAAGGAATAATTCTTTCAAATAATTTCTGTTTTTTTTTTTAATTTAGATGTCTAAGGCCACCAAGCTCAGTGATGATTGGGAAACCTCAGAAATCTAAATGAAAAACAAAACAAAGAATGTAGAAAATCGTACATCAAAATAATTCTATGTTGAATTTAGTACTTTTGTTATGAAGTGTATGCTGAACAATTAGAAGTTGTGATGTAGCATATTTGGTGGGAGCGAGGGAACGACTCAGCTGAAGTAATAATTTGCTGTTCAGATGAAGGAATATATATATTTATTACATTTATTGCTAAGTAGCTATTTTAAAAAACAAATACCTCATAATAAGACACCTCCTTCTTCTTAATTTGCAGGTTGCCTGAGACCACTGCTGCTTCCTCATAGTTTCACTAATATATCTCAGTTCGAGTCTTCCTTCCCAGTAGGATCAATGATATATTTTCAGTGTTTTCCGGGATATAAACTAGAAGGTGCAGAGTTCCTTGAGTGCATGTATAATCTTATCTGGTCAGATAGTCCACCTAGTTGCCTTGATGTGGAAGGTAAAACATCTTCTATGTTCAGACAAATACTGGTAAAATCTCAGTACAGTTGTACTTGGTCTAGTAACTTTTTACTTGATCTTCATCTTTTTTTTCAGTACACAAACAATGTGTTTTACAGATAAATTATATACAGTATGTGTCTGCTTAGAATTAAGTCTTGCATTCAGTTCAATAAATAAAAAAATCAGGCAAAATTATTGTAAGTATGTACATATTCATTATTAAAAATAATTATAGGTTGTTTAATATTGTGTAAAACTATTTGCTTACAATATGCATTAATTACATGCATATTGCATGAAATAATTGATTAATGAAAGGAAAATAGAGATGTTGTATGTCTGTGAAACTAAAAGAAAGCAGGACATGATACATATCTCAATGAAAGTAGTCTGATTTTGTGGAATAGAGTTGATAAATAAGTGCAGGAAAGCTAAGGTTTAGGTTTGATTGAATGAAAGGATAAAGTCATTGTCAGAAAGTATGAATTGATGTAATCCCAATTATAATGGGGCACATATTGAAGTAAAAAATCATAGATTGATTATAGTAACCAACATGTGGATATACAAGAATCACAGGTGAATTTTGGGAAACACTGTGCAAAATTCTGAATGAGTGTCATTAAGCAGCGGGGGGGATTATTCTGCTGGAGATATGAATGGGTAGGCAGGTTTAAAACAAGAAAGTAGGGGGAAATGATGATTGGGGCATTCAGAGATCCAAGAACAAACTAGAATAGTGATTCTTTGGTTAGTATTTGCTTAGAAAAAGCATGTTAGTTTCAAATATGAGTCTATTCATATGTATTCATGGGGAATAAGAATAAATGTAAAAGCACAATTTATTGAATTAATTATTATAAAAGCCTGAGAGAATTAGTAAAGGATACAAAGATGATTAATTCTTCTGAATATAGATAGACCATTATATGCTAGTGTCAGGAATGGATATTGGGAAAAATAGATGAAAAAGGCAAATAATTCAAATAATGTAGAGAGAAACTAGGAAGTCACAGTATGTATTAGAAAAAAGTATTAGAAAATAGGTTAATGGAAACACGAGGAAAGAAGATGTGAAAACTTTTTGGAACAAAGTTAAAAGAAATGTGTTACAGAATTCCATAGAAATAGGTGGTCAAAAATGTTTGTTCCTAATCACAACAGTACCAAAATTATAAAACATGCATTATGGCTCCACAACTCCAGTTCTATCCTTTCATTTCATTATGTCATCACAATGTGTTATGTCATCATAAGAAAAAAGGAAATTGTGTTACAACACATGTTTCATCATTTACCTACCCTCTTCCTACAGAATAGGTGGCTAGGTACCCTTGCATAAGTTGATGAGTAGGAGTAGTGATAATATTTGTGATGATATTATCATGTGAATTCTGTGACATATTTTCTTGGGTCAGATGTTCAGATGCAAGTTTATAATATCATTTGTATGAGTATTCATTGAATGTGTATCATTTTGGTATCATCTTGATTTTTTGATTGATTCCCTTTCTTTCAAAATAATTCTTAGTATAAATAAAAAATAACACAGCCCTCTTTTCATTCTGCTCCTTAATTTGTATAATAGTCCCTTTTTAGAGGATCATACAGATAATTCACTTCTGGCCTTGAAAAAGCTTTAAATTTTAATCAGGCTTTTAAATGAAATTCACATATACATCTATCCATCATGCTATTCATTTTCAGGGTAAGCAGTGTTATGCAAGGGGGCAGAAAAGAATAAGAAATAGTAAACTGAAGTATTTGAAGGCACAAGATAAGAAAAGGTAATGCAACTAACTAGTTTATATTTACACTGCTCATTATGCCTTTTGTATCTTCTGTCATCTGCAAATCATCCTTGCTTCCACCACATTCATAGATCACTTTCATATGCTGCTTTTTCTTTAAATTTTTCATCTCTGTCTTTTTGAAGATCTCACAAACTCTCTTCATCCATAGCTTTCTCATTCTTCTGGTTCCTCCTCTTATTTATTTAATGATACCCTCATTAGTAAAATGGTACATTTAGACTAGAAGATGCAACTGTTAAATGGATTCATAATTGAATGACTACACCCAGAGAATATTCATAAATGGCTTTGCATCAGCTTCAAGAGTAGTACTGTGGAGTGCCATGTGCTTTGTCCCGGTTTCTGCACTAGTCAACATTTTTAATAGCATGCATTACAAAAAAAACTTACAAGTTTAATCAATTGTGGTCAAGCCCCATTGGACACACTGTTTCTAGTTCTAGACATAGCAGTTTAAGAAGACATTGTTGAACAGGAGCAAGTTCAAAGAAAGGGTAACAAGGTGAACCGAGAATTAGAAATCTTGTCCTGTGTGGAATGGTTCAGCAAACCTGATATGCTTTTCTGCAGAAGAAAATGTTGAAGAGAAATATAGTAGCAGTCTTCAGATATCCACAGGATTATCATGTAGAGAAGGAAGTGAGTATTTGGTCAGAAGGCAGGACCTGAAACGATAAGTTCTAACAGCAGGGAAGTTGATCCAGTTTAGATGTTTCCTGATTGCAAGAGCTATCAACCAGTGGGACAGGTTGCTTGGTGATGCCATATGTTGCATTTTATTGCAGATCTTTAAATAGAGATGAGATAAACATCTCTGCAAAATATTTTAGCAGATTCTGCACTTGAGAAGGTTACCCTATTTGACCTCTCCATTTTCCTGCAGCTCGGCGGGAGAGGCTACAACAGGATTTAGTCACAGCCTGATTGGTCTAGAGACTGAGGGAATTTTCTTAAAGTCACCATCCTTCTCTATTGGCTCCCAGTTTCCTCTCAGTCTCCTGGTCTAAGCACTGTTTTTGGCTTCTTGAGATACTAATAATTGTTATTTAATTGTTATTTAATTCAATTAATTGGATATTCTAAATTGCTAAATTATCAGACTGCCGGCCACCGAGGCTGCTAGTCAGTCTCATGAGGCAGGGCTCCCGGTCCTTGCCTCTGGGCCGAAGGGGCTTGTCCGACTCCTGGGCGTGCAGGTGTGACAAGCTCCTATCGCAGCTGAGTTTTGCTAGAGGCTTAAAGTGACTGGAGGACAGCCACGTCGCTGGGATTATCCCAGACGCACCCTAAAGCCACTGCTCCTTAATAGCTTGCCATGGCGGAGGAATTTGGGTGCATCATTACAGCCTCTAAAACAAGTGACTTTGGGTGGCAAACAATCATAAAAACAATTAAAATAGTTAAAACATAGTACAAAAACCCTTAAACACAAATAGCAACCAAGAGATACTATAATTTGTCAGCTTCAACATAGCCAGAAAACTGTCCTTCCCACATTCAGAACCCTAGGCCTGGGCAGATACATAGCTACATCTTCAAAGCTTTCTGAAAGACCATCAGGGATGGGACATCCTAATCCCAGGAGGAAGAATATTCTAGAAGGCATGCAGAAAAGCCACACCTCCTGGTCTCTGCAGCCATCATTCCTTGGCCTATGGGACCCGGAGCATGGCCACCCTGCCTGTCATGGAGGCTTCGGAATCTGAGTCTGATGATAACAGGGAACCAGCCCTGACTTCTTAAATAAGAAACACCAGGATGTTTTTACTTAAGAGGAGCTTTGACTTAAGACTAATAGTGGAAACAACCATCTATTACTCCAGTTCTCTGTGCCTTGCCTTGCTTGCCAGCCTTGCCTTAACAAGTGATCAACAGCCCTTTCTGTGCATTGCATTCTGGAACCGTTTGACCACTCTTGTGCCTGAGTCTCTGGACTTGGAACTCTTTATTAATGCAAATTGCTAGACTGATGGAAACTTGGTTACTTCAAGTGTGTTGGCACCTGGCTTTTTGTTGATTGTTATAAGTAAGTTTGCAGTTGCCTCTTGGGTGTGTGGGTCTGTGCTTGGCTTGAGACAGGACATTGCCAGACTGGATTGGATATGGGACATAACTGAAAAAGATGGTCCCTCAGGTAATCCGGTCCCAAGCCATGAAGGACTTTAAAGGTAACAACCAGTATATTGAATTGCGCTCAGAAACACACTGCCAACCAATTCAGCTCCAAAAGCAGCAATGTTATATGTGGCAAATAACTGGCATCATTTATAACCCATGTAGCTGCATACTATATCAGCTGAAGGTTCTGAATGCTTCTAAAGAAATTTCGGCTGGTGGGATCCGAAACAGACCATTTTCTGACATAGCACCCATCCTCTGGAATATCGTGAACCCCAAGGGGCGAGCCACATGATCTTCTGAAAGGTTTTGAAGACCTTGCTCTGCCAACTGGTCTGGGGCCCCTATGGGGGTGTGACATTCTGGAGGTTGCTAATGGATTAGGTAACACCCAACTTCCTCCACCTGCATCTTTGCTCCCTTCCTTGGTCAATTTAATTTTAACTGAATTTTAAATTTAAAATCTGTATTTTAATATTTTAAATGGCATTTTATTGAATGATTTTAAACCATCTTTACTGAGATGGGCAGCATATAAGATGGATGGATAGATGGGTGGATGGATGGATGGGTGGGTGGATGGGTGGGTAGGTAGGTAGGTAGATAGGCAGGTAGGTTGGTTCCACCTTATTTCAAAACATTGCCTCTTTATTCCCCTGCTCTTTTAATAAAAAGTATAAAAAAGAAGCTGGTCCTTTACTATAAACTCTCACAGACATATATATCTATTTAAAGGAATAAATAACGATTTGGACTCTATTGATTAAGTAAGATCTGGGGAAAAAACCCAATAAAATGGCCTATTTAGAACATTCTTCCTTCTGCATTTTTAAGAAGTAAGCTTCTTTTTCCTTTAGATTTTTTTTCTTAAAGGATTTTCTGTACATTAGTATTTGAAAAATGAAATAGATTGGCACCATAAACTGTCAAATGAGAATGAAAAGTCAAATTGTTGCAGAAAATGCTGTTTGTCCTTTGTACAATTCGGTGTACAAGAATTGTATTAAAAGGTGTCCTGTAATTTCCAGAGTATATGCAAATAGAAATGTTATAGTACTTTGTA